AGTACACAAATATATAAGAATTACAGCATATTTCCATAACTGCACACCTAGTTTTTCCCTTGGTGTTCACTATTTTGACACTTTAGAACCCCTCCTTTTTTTTTTTTATATATGATAATGATTCCAGCGCAGATGTTCTGCACAAGAAACATTTAATCCTAGTGTTTGGCCAGTTTCAGACATGAGCAGGATCAGGCCTGATTATTACTGAATAGTATTATATGTGGAACTTTTTTTAGACTAGGAATTAAGGGTGGAAATCCAGAAAAAAAGCAGGGATAAATCACTTCTGTAATGCTGCCTAGAAGACTGTATGAATCCAAGCACCAAGTGTTGAGCTTGAAAGTATCTTAAGCTATAAGAATGCAAGCTCAGGGTTGCTCCTCTGTGCTGAAAGTTTCACTCTAAATAATTTTCAAAGTTTTCATTATTTAGTAGGATGCATTTAAATTTTTATGTTTTCTTGTTTTAGATCATGATTTCTGGTTCATAGGTAAAAAGCCATGAATTGTAAAAACCAAGACTGAATCCTGTTAATTACTGCTCCAAAATATTCAGACAGAGGAAAAGGAAGTTGGACTATACAAGCCTGTGATTTTTCCAGGCTCACAGCAGCTTACCCATTTAGCACTAAATCCTAGCTTAGGGTGACATATGAACCGGGTCTTCTTCCCTTGGGCTTAAGTCCAAACAAGGCCTTAAAAATTGGGAATGTTGTCTGGTACTAGAGTGTTGGGAGATAGAATGTTTTTCAAATTCACTATTATTTATAATGTATTTATTATAATGGGTAATCAGACAATGATTTACTACTCTGTGTTAAAATTTCATTTTAAACAAAGACATCTGTTAAGTAGATTGATCCAAAACCATGAAAAACTTTGTTATGGCTTCCCCCAAAGAATTCTTCAAACAGGACTTTGATTTAATAGGGCCTAGTATTTCTTCTCCATCTTTTGATAGTTATGAGATAAAATGTCATCTTTTAGGCATGTTAAGTCTGAGAAAAGTATAACTCTTCACACTCACTCTGTTCTTCATTTATATGAGTTAAATGGGTAATTATTTTCCCTATCAACTATTGGCTCCATGTAGGGGGAAAAATTGTTGAGAGTTGAATGTACTTTTATTGTGGCGATAGAGGAAGAAAGATAATTTGACTGCCAAACAGTTATAAATCTAATCTGTTCTATCTGCTGCATTTATGAATTATACCTTTAAAAGGCAGAATGTAGTAATTGAAGTTGTTTATTCCTTGCTAAAAGAGCCAAATTAGATAATAGGTTAAATGTGTGCATACCTGTCATGAATCTTTTTTCCCCTTAACTTTAAGGTTACACACGTTGGGGGAGGGGGAAATGAATAAACTGATGCTGTGGTTTGAAATATACATTTGTATGTGTATGTTGTTAATAGGTTTTCTTTGCCACGATCCAAACAAAAAAGCTGCCTCAAGTTGTGATTTTTCTTGGGAAAAAAAGCTATAAAAAGCAAATTTAAGGAGGAGAAAAAACTATCACAACAACTTTGATACAGTGGGAAAATATTTCACTCCATCCTAACACACTGCTTAGATTCAAATAAAACAAGAAAAAAAACTATCACAACAACTTTGATACAGTGGGAAAATATTTCACTCCATCCTAACACACTGCTTAGATTCAAATAAAACAAGAAAAAAAACTATCACAACAACTTTGATACAGTGGGAAAATATTTCACTCCATCCTAACACACTGCTTAGATTCAAATAAAACAAGAAACACATGAATCATAAAATGGTTTATTAAATTTTGGCTTAGTGTATTCTGAGAACCTAGCCAACTATAGTTTATTCAGCATGATTTAAAAAGTAAAAACTTGGTACATTGTGTGAACCCAATCTCTGTTGTCCCAATTTTGATTGGGACCCTCCAAGTTACTACTTGAAATGTAAATGCATGCATGTAAAATCCGTGCCTGTTTTTAACATAACTTTTTTTGTTGTTCAAAAAGTATAAAATGGGAATAGTTTGTTGTGGGCCATCCTTAGTCTTTATGGATTGCTATAGGGACATCATCTTTTTTCAAACATGATAGTGAGCATGCAGGGAGCAAGCCCTAAGCAAACCCAACTCTCATTGTAGATTCAGAAAATGTATAAATGCTTCTAATATAATGTAATTCTATTGTGCAGTCATATGATAGCATTATATGGGAGAGAAATAATTTGCATACCTCATAAGAAAAAAAGTATATTTACAAATTAATTCAAATTATTTTTACTAAACAAATAATGACTATGTGAACATTACTTAACATTACTTAAATCCATGGCATGAATTTGTAATATTAATTTCAATTGCTAGAGGAATATCATAAATACATAAGTAACTGTGTCTGATACTTCTTAGTGTGGGATTTCCTTCCAGCTCTCATATCATTCTCAGAGAACTAAATAGTTCTTTATAATTCTTTGAAGTTGCAATGAACTATTTTGTCATTTGGGGAAATGGTTGCTGCAACTTATACTTCAACAGCGATGCATAATGTTGCATTTATAAAATTGTGTATGCTTGTTCAAGAATAGAAACAAAGAATTTTTTGATAGAGATCTTCAAAATATATAATTTGCAAAGAGCTCAACAAGATGTGATTTGGTTGAAAACTGCTGGATCTTCAGTTTTCAAGGTCCAGGTAATTGAACAGCTTTGGTTTCATATCTGTATTTGTCATGTGGCAAACTCTGAGACTCTTGAAACATCCAGTTTTCATTATGAGCAGTACTGTAAGAATTTTGAATGTCCTAAAGCTAATTTTAATGGCTCTCAGCAAGAATGTCTTAAATCTGAAGAATTAGAGTAATAAAATTGCAATAAAAATGGACTGTTTGTTGAAAAACAGATTGTGGTATGTTATCTGATTCCTAATTTGTACAGCTAAGAGAAACAGTGTTCATATATCACACTAACCATTATTTGTTTTATTACTGGGGTTTTGAACAAACTACAATTAGCTGGGTTTAAACAACACACTAAAGTATAAATCATGGTTAACTAATCATCATTACTAGATTCACAGAACGGATTAAACTACATAATGTCTCTGTATAGTATATGAACTCTACAAGCTGAATGCAATCAGTTTAGATTTATAAAAGGCATTTGAAAAGTAAAATACTTTGATACAGAGTTTAGCAGCATATGGGTAATAACATTTAAGCCATATCTATTCAGGAAAGGAATACCTGGCATATAGAATCTTCAGACCACACATATAATCTTGAAATCCAAAGTTAGCTTCCAACTTAAAAAATGTTCATGAACTTTGATAATTAATTCTGACCTTTAATGAGAGTTCTTCATTCCCATCCAAAAAAAGGTTTATCTTACTTCATTGATTCAAAAACCATGCCTATATAAAGAAAATCAGCCTTGTCCAGATTAAGCTTCCATTAGCTGGACTGTTACTTGGTGCTACCTGGTTACCACTGTACTACCTGGATAACTTTATTGCTTCAGTTTACACATAATTGCTAAGCCCTGTTTGTTGAATATGTCTTACTGGCTGGGTTCATACATAGTGTTAAGTCATAAGCCATGATTTACAAATTGGGCTGAGTTCATAGAATAAACCAAGCCAAAATCAAACCATATTACAGCTTAGTGCATCGTATAAGCCTAATTTGCTATAGATGTTGAATAATTTAGGGACAAAATGAAGTTGCAAATAAGCACATTGCAGCAAAATGTATTATTTTAAAAGTTCTTGAAATATAGAAACACTTTCTGTAATTGTTCCCTATCGTAATTATTGATATTGTGCTAGAAATGCCAGTCCTGCAGGACAAGGATAAAATCCACAGATGATAGAAGCAGCCTTACCAAAGCCCTGTCCTCTTCCTTGAGACCACAAACTTAAATACACTCAAACTGACATTGCAGGTTATTGTCCATCAATCCATCTCCAAGCAAATGTGATTTTATCCACAAAATGCCTAGATAACTGTCACAGACAAGGTTACATAGTTCTATTTTTTGGAAAGAATTCCTATCCAACATTGTTCCACAAATTCATTTTCAAAAAAGCATATTTGCCTTGATTTTAGACTAAAATATTTCCTGTATCTATTATTCGCTCTCTCAATTTTTTTCTTCTTTTCTTCTTCTTTTCTGAAGATAAGAATGTTTACTTACTGTAAGTAAATTGTCTGATTATTATGCAATTCTGGTGATCTTAGTTGCACTAGGTTGTGTTTTTGTGAGCATTGTGAGATATTTCTTGTCACCTGCCCTCAAGATATGACCTGGTGACCTGCAAATCAAGAAAATGTCATGTTAGTGGCTACTAATTAGTGGATCTACAGAGCTGCTTCATCTGGCCTTTCATCCTTCCACAGACAGCAGCAAAAGCTGTCATACACATCATGCTAAGAAAACAAGTCAGCATCACATTTTTTTAAAATAGTTTAAATGCTAGAGAAAGGTCCAGCTGAGACTAAAGATGAGTATGTAGGTTAGGGCAGAAATTAACCTATAATGTAGTCTTTGTATTTATATCTCATGCAGTAAAGATATAAAAAGTAGAGTAGTATGTGTCTACAAGGTATACCTCTATCACTGTATGTTGTGAACATACTGTAATACATGATCGGAAAAAGCACAAATGTTTCTCACTTATTTTGCATTTTTAAATAAAATTCCATCACTACATTGCTTGTCAGATAAAGTACAGTCATGGATATTCAGTTGCAAAATGCAGATAATATATAGGAATAAGAGTGATGGTATAAAATAAGCTTTTTAGGGACTATACATTTTAATCCTTAGATGGATTTAGAGAAAGTCTTGGTTAAAGGAGTCAGAGTGCTCGTTAATCAATGTTGCATCTTGGTATCTCCTGAGTGTCACAGGGTTTTGAGGGGTAGAAAAGATTGGCTACAGTAATTAAAGCAAAGAAATCGATCACAAAGCAAACATATCAGGAAATACATAAAAGTAATCTTTTAATTGTTTTCACAGGTCTTTAAGATAGAAGTACTAATGAATGGAAGAAAGCATTTTGTTGAAAAGAGATATAGTGAGTTCCATGCTCTCCATAAAAAGGTAAGTATTGTGTGTAAATTGTTCAAATAATACTCTCTGTAGCCTATTTCCATTCATTCCCAAGTAATGACTTCACTTGATTTCTGAATATGATGAGGAAGTTCATAGTTTACTTGAATTGCTTTCCACTTTTAAACAATTGTTAGGTAGGGTTGAAAAACATTTTTTTTTTTTTTGGTGGTATGTGTCTTTTTTACCACCTTTCTTTTTGGGGCTAGCTGTCTCTGCCTTCATTACTACTGGATGATCAAAGCCTCAAGCAAGGGGCAAACAAATAGAAAAGAAAAAAAAAAAGTATTTCCAGTAAGTGGGAGCTGGTGCTTCCCTCTATCCAGTCTTTTTGAGGGAAAATCCAAGTGGCAGGAACATACATGCCTTTGAATGTCACTTCCCCAGAGAGCTGTGTGTACTTCGAGAAGTGCCTCAGTCTACCCGCTTTTTCCAGAGGGAAAGGCTAAGTAGAGTGAGAGTTCCTCTCAAGTGCCATGACACTTCCCCAAACTATACTGGGTAGGGGCATTGATCCTGAGCAAGCCACTTGAGGTTCCCTCCTGCAACAAACACAACAACTTCAGATTGTCCAGGTGTTTCTAAAAAAAGTGGGATGTGCAGCAAAACACTCCAGTTTACGGATATTTCACATTTCTGTGAGATGGGTGACTATACAAATTTAATAAATACATACAGTACTGTGCAGAAGTTTTAGGCAGGTGTGAAAAAATGCTGTAAAGTAAGAACGCTTTCAAAA